CTTCAATTAATGTAGCATTATTTCTGTCTAACGTGGTGCGAAACGCAAGTTTAGTATCATTAAAATAAATATTTATCGTGAGCGGACCTGGAACGCATCGCATAGGTTCTGGTTCCCATTCACCATTTGTATTACATCTCACGTTCTTTCTTTGTCCGGACAGTAGATTAGTTTCGATAGGTTGATAACTGTTTTGACATTGCAATGTCGCTTTTGTTTCTGGTGGAACTGGAGATTCGCACGATATCCATTCATCATCGTATGTACTACATCTAGCTTCGATTGACGCCGAGGTCAAAGCTTTGCAGCGTATTTCTATCAAATTAACATTTTGATCAATTAATCATAATTTTGATTGCTTTAGTTGAAAAATTCAGTATTTAAGAATCCTTACTTATTTTCCATGTATGTGTATACATATATAAAAATGACCTTCAATTTGATGTCGAATCGACGTCAAATTGACATCGAAATTATCGTATTGACGTCGATTCGACATCGAATTGGTGATCATTTCTCACTGTGTCGAATACCTATACAAACTGGTATAGTAAGCCATTTTTCCTCGAAACTGCAGCTCACATCGGTCGGACCTCTTATTTTATATCCCGAATTACAAGAGTAGATGAGATGAGAACCTAATATCAGTTCTGTTCCTTCTTGAACGTTACATTCCTGTTCACCTGGGCATTGTGATTCATGTAATTTCCAATGACCGTTCTGCGGTTGTGGAGGTGCTCTGCAAGTGTTAGTACCAGGTGCTACAATAGGACGAGTTGATATAAGAGGCGGTGTTGTTGGTCGTGTTGTTTCCATTGTTAGTTGCGTCGTTGATGTGGGCGATAGTGCGCCACATGAATTCTCGTCCGACATATCGGCGCAATTAACTTCTTCATTACATCGTAGATCACCATCGATACACGCTCCATAATCACATCGGAAAGCTGTCCCAATACAGCTGCAAACAAATTAACAGTTATAAAACGTTTGTTCCTCGTAGTCGTTTAATCAATATATAATTATAAATCGTATTTTAAGCATATATAAAAGATTCTTACGGTAGAGATCCGCATATTGCAGATACTTCATCAGAACCATCCGCACAGTCTCTCTTTCCATCACAAACTTTTATGTTATTAATGCACGGACCGTAGTTGCACTTAAACCGGTCCACCCCACATGTTTGAATTATTTCACTGCACCCGGGTAGTATGTTGTTATGAACACACATGTCGTAGATGTTACCATAATTCCACAGCATAAGAATATATATCAAGCCCATAAAGGGCACAAATATAGCTAGCGGTCTGAATATCCATTTATTCCATTCCATACCCACTACGGATAACTAGTAGATATATATAATAATTATCTACATCCAGCAGTTTATCAAGCAGCTACCGTGTCAAAGATATCTATAAAATATTTATGTTATCTATATATCCGTTTTAATAAAATATTTATCGGAAATACCTAATTAATATATATGTATATATATTAATTAGAAATTAACATTCACTAAATAGTTATTTAAACTTTATTGTCACATAATTAATGTTAATAACTATTTCATGATAAAGTCTTATTAAATTTTGCTTTTATAACTAAGAAATATAAAATAATTACATTGTGGGATAAAATTTAATCTTTCTTTTTTACATCACAAGTGTGGATATAAGTCATTTTCGACGTATTTTCACTTACTAAACATGAATTTGTTGGCAAAAGTTGGCTATCACGTTACAGTTTTGAAAGAAATGTGTCAAAGAAATCGAAAACGACGACTATATTTTCTTAGTTCAAATTCAAAAGAATTTTGTAGCCAAATAAATTCTATATATTTAAAAGTACAGACGTTTTTTTTATGAAGACGTTACATTTTAACTATTACAAGATATTAAAATATTACTTTCATCCCCGATCTACCTTAAAATAAAAAATCTATGCTTATTAAAGCAAATAAAATATTTAGATTTGATTATCCATGTTGTAAATGTTTCGCTAATTAGATTTGGAGTAATATAATTTTAAAAAATTACGACATTCTAATTTAATATAAATAATATTTTTTAAATTAATTTTTAATTTAATTTCTCAAAACTTAACTTTAACGTTCATGCATGTTTTAATTTTAATATAACTAAATTAATCTTATATAAAAATCTAATCGAGACCGCGAAAATTCAAACAAGAATCGAAAAGGCCAAATGCAGTTTAAAGAGAATCTTGATAGTAATTATAATATTTTTGTGTGAATTCTACAAAATTAATTAATTAAATTAATTTTATAAGCTATTAATTTTAACTTAATTTTGTTTAAAAATATATTATTCTGTATATTACGTATTTACAACATAATCAGTGTACTTAATTACGCAGTTTTTTAATAATATAATTTAATATTATAAAATTAAACAATAACAAGTGATCATAGATAGATATATAAATGACATAAATAAGTAAAAAAAAACCTTATTTAGAAATTTAAGGATCTAATAATACTATGTAAATTTTAAATAACATGAACATATATTAAATAATTTAAAGATAAAGCTCATAATATTAAATATTTAAAATTTATAATATTAAAAATAAACATTTTGTATCACATACACGCAATTAATATTGTGAGACAACATCTGTTAAAAGTTAGCTAACATTGCTTGAGTAATGACAATCAGTTTTGAGTTTACTATGATATTGCCAACGTCCGAGAATCAGTATCGCAAGAGTCGATAAACTTATCTGGATTTCTTTCGTAATTACATAATTGCTTATGTCTTAGCAACTTTATGGTAGACCAAACATTTTCTATTTTTAACAGAAAACGAAAGAAAATGATAGGAAACACAATAATATAATATTTATTTTACAATATAAAAAATTAAACAATATAGACGATACAAAACAATAAGATTCTTTTGCAAATCGCTTCTTATCGCTTTCTTTCGATTTCTAAGAAAGGATTATTATATTTCACTTGATACACTATACATGTTCTATATATCTCGATAAGATATCGTGGGATCTGTAGGATCTATCGTACACCTTGCAATATCCATGCAGAATATCACCTATCAAATCGTATCTATAAAGATTGCATTTGGAAATCTGAGACAATTTGAAATGTTCTCAAGATAAAGTGTGGATTATTTGTTTGAACATTACATTATTTCAACGAATAAAAACCCACAATCATTACTACTATTTTGAGCATACCTAAAACCAATCCATACTGTAAAATCCAAAAAATGGTTTTGCTAAATTATCAAAATTTGTTATTTTATGTGTTGAATAATTGTGCATGTATAAAAAAATCATTTATCAAATTATTTTACTTATATATAATTTTACAATTTATTCAATAATATTTGTATCATTGTACATATAGAAGAATCCTGTTTAATACTCATATTTTTTGTGACAAAAAAATCAATCATAGATTGATCGATTATATGGTAATATAAGAAAAGCTTTAAATAAATGTGATAAAAATATGCGTTATGCATTCATGTATCATCTTTGCTTATATTATCTTCCAATATAAATAAATGAAAAGAAAATAGATATTTATTTATACTGAGATCACTTCATCACTGCTTTCTGAAACTGGTTGTAAATATATTTTGGAAAAATTTCTTGAAATATATAAAAGTACAATTACCACGAAATATCAATGAATATATAAAACAAATTCTTCCTAGCAGATAAAGAATAATAACTATATATTTTACTAAAAGAAACGTTTTCTATAAATTATCTCACTTACAAATTATTAATCATGCATTCAACAATTTATTAAGATTAAATACGCAAATTAAACAACATTTTGTAAGTTAGATAAATTAAGACTTCTAAATGTGTTATTTCATATTTTTCTAAAATGCATATTGTTTGACGTGATTTTGTCACTATGAAATATACAGATTAGTATAGAAATAAATAAATTTTATTAATAAATAAGATTTTAATAATATCAATGAAAACAGTTGTATTTTTGTACATTTTCATGATTTCGCCACTATAAAATATATAGAAATATAATGACTACTGAATAAATCAGAATTCGCTAATGATCAAATATTATGTTGATGGCATCAAAGAAAATTACAATTGCATTTTCAAATATTTTTACGAGTATACCACAATGCTATTTTATCAACATTGTATAGGATAACTTCGGTATACAATTTAAATTGTTTTTTACTTACCGTAACCAACTATTAGTGTAACAATCCGCATGTTAAAGAATATCGTACAAAATTGTAATCCACAGCAGTCCGGATGCTCGATTATTCACTGCGGTCATATATTTCTCTTCTTACTTTTATTGATTCTCAATTCAGGTTTAATTTGATTAGTAATAACCAATAGTCAAATCAAATAAGTATAAAATATCATGAATATATATGGTCACAAAACACTTGTTAAATGTGAACACAAAATGGTTAATTTCGTTAGAAACTGATCTTAAAAATTTTAGGTTCGCAGTTGACGATTTTTGTCTGAAGTAACTTTCTGGCGACCTTCCACTGAATATCACAAAACTGGAATTACTTGACGCAAGCAAAGCGCACACGTCATCTTGTTATGTTATGTGCGTATGATGGGTAATACACATACAGGAAAAGTATATACATACTCGATTCACATGTAGTAACAAATTATCTTAAACCTCAAACAAAACGAAAGAATTACGACCGTATATATGTTATGCGCACATATATTAGTTCGGTTTAAAAATTTTCTTTAGCTTCTTACAATTA